CCCCAAAACCCCAAAACCCCAAAACCCCAAAACCCCAAAACCCCAAAACCCCGTAAATCGCCTCCATAATTGAAATATTTATACTGTAATCAGATTTGAATTAATACTTTTTCTTTTCAGCTGCTCCTTTCGAAGATCCGTAATAGGAACCATGCATCTTTCCATGAGTTGTTGAAGGTCTGGAACGACGGTCCATACTCCCTTCCTTGCGAGAGTAACTACTTGAAGAGTACTTCTTCTTAGGATGATGGGAAGAATACTCCTTCTTGGAGTATCCCATTGAGGACTCCTTTTTAGAATAATTTGATTCCTTCCTTGAATAGCCTGATGCTTCTTTATTTAGAAAATCCTCCTGCTCCATACTGAGTTGAGTAGCCCATGGCTGCCTTCTTCTTTTTGAGGTAAGCTTGTTCTTGAAGCATCTTTCTTTTCCTCAACTCCTTCTTTCTCCGATGAATGTCTGTATAAATCTTCAGTCTATATTCTTTGATGGAGAACTTCTTGTTATCATCAATAGGGATGGTTATCACTTTATTTACATACAGGTTCTTTCTCTATTACGTGAAATTGGGAAACATAAGGATGCTCCAAACATTCTTCAACAGTGAGTCTTTCAGAAGGGTTAAATTTTAGTAGCTTATTCATCAAGTCAATTGAATCTTCAGGTGCAGACGGGAAGATACTCTCTAATGAAACTTGTTTAATGTGAGGGATTGTAGAAAATATCTTAGTACAATGTGGAGAATTCATCGAGTCTATCTCTTCTTGTGTTGGCATCCCGGTAACTTTTAAAACTCTTTCTATCTGATTCAAAGTTGAAACACCAGGAAACATTGGTTTGCCAAGCATCAACTCAGCTAAGATTCATCCTACTGACCACATATCGACTCCTTTCGTGTAGGTATGGGAGCCAAATAGAATCTCAGGTGCTCTAAACCACCTAGTAGCGACATAATCAGTCAATAATGGCTCTTTGTCTTCCTCTCATTGAGCAACAGATCTGGCCAGTCCAAAATCAGCTACCTTAGCATGGCATTCAGCATTCAGAAGAATATTACTAGGTTTGAGGTCCCTATGGAGAAGGTCAGCCGAGTGCATATATTTCAATCATTTTAAAACCTGGTAAATAATATATCTCTTGTGTACATCTTCCAAAATGTTTGCTTTGATAACTGCGTGGAGGTCAGTTTCCATAAAATCAAAAACCAGGTAAATATCCTTATCATTTTCCGCACGAATGACATTCAAAAGTTTAACTATATTCTCATGCCCATATAGCTCTTGTAGGAATACAATCTCTCTAAAAGTTCTCTGCGCATCAGTGGAATTCTGGAATGCATCAAATACCTTATTTAAGTGCTCATATCTTCTTAGACTTCTTATCGATTACTTTCCATACAACACCGTAGGCGCCCTGGCCTACCTTCTGGAGTACCTCGTACTTCTTTAAAACGTGATTTTCTATTTTATCAGTCATTTTTAAATTTAGAGTCAATTATTATATAAAGGGACGGGGTTTTGGGGTTTTGGGGTTTTGGGGTTTTGGGGTTTTGGGG